GAGAAGAGAACGGCAGCCCCTCCTGTCCTGTGTGACTGGCAGAGGGAGAGCTCGGTGTTCTTGGTGGAAGGTTTTAGATTCCCAGGCATGTGAGCAGAATGGTCACTGGTGAGTGGGTACCATGGAACCAGGATCCTCCATTTATTCAGCTTTCATTCATTCAACAAATATTTATTGAGCACATCATACATGCTGGATACTGTTTCTAGCTGCCAAGGAGAAGTAGTAACACAACAAACCAGCAAAATCTCTGTGTAATGGAGCTGGCTTTCTCATGGGGAGATAGATGGGAAATAGGATAAATAAATTACATAGTGTGCTGTATAGTGATGGATGCTAAGAAGAAAATAAAGGTGGAAAGGGAGATGGGGTGTAAAAGTATATGCGTACATTTATTTGTGGGTTGATGGTTACAATTTAAGATAGGATGACTAGGGAAGGCCTTACTTTTTTTTTTTCCTGAGAAATTTTTGCTATAGGGTGCTCACTATTTTTCCCTGAGAAATTTTTGCTATAGGGTGCTCACTGGAGAAAGAGAAATCCCCAAAGGAGATGGCTATTCCTCAATCTCTTTTCCTCTGTTCCCTTCTTGGAATTTTGAGCATGCATGCACACACGCCTTGTGTGTTTCCAAGCTCTGGATCTGGGACCCAAACCACAGTTGACCATGTGTGAGTCCAGCACCTTAACCACTATGCCACCTGCTGGCCCCAAGGGAAGGCCTTACTGTTAAGATATTTTATTTGTTTATTTTTTGAGTGAGTACCTGATGGAATAGAGGGAAGGGGGCACGGGATTTGTGGAGCTGGAGGATTTTCCATAGTAGAAGCAACACGTGCAAAGGCCCTGAGGTGGTCTGTTTAAGAAGTGGGGATGAGGCCAGTGTGTCTAGTGAAGGGTATGTAGTACCCTTCTAGTGAAGGGCTGAGTAGTAAGAGATGCGGTTGGAGAGGATGCAACAGAAGTTAGATCATTCAGGCTTTTATACATTTCACCTGGAGAGAGAGAGATGGACGCCACTGAAAGGTTCTGAATGGAAGAGTTGTCTGCTCTCCCATTTTAAGGGGACTGTGCTGAGAATAAACTGAAGAGGTAGGGAGGGCAGGGGCAGGGAGATGTGTTTGGAGACAAGTGTAATAACCCAGCTGAATTTGTCACGGAAATGAGGAGAAGTTTATGGGCTGTTTATGGCCTGTAACATATACTTTACAAGCCAAGTTCCAACTACCAGAGCCAAAAATTGCCTCAGCACTTCATTGTTTATCTAGAATCAGGCTGGCACAGGGAAGCAGGTGGAAAACCATTCCAAGTTCAAGTTCATAAAACGGCGAGTTGCCCTGCTGCTTGGCATAGGTTTCCCATAAAGGAGTCTGTGTTTACATTGCTGGAGGTTTGTGGTTCCTTCCCATAATTGCTTTAAAAAAACCCGTGAAGTCTGCGTGCCACCTTTAACTTTCTAACTAAAACAGCAATTGACCTATTACATTTATTTAGGCGTGGTGCCCATTTTAACAATTAAAAGTTTATAGGAAATTATAAAGCCCTCTCATATACTAGATTGGATCCTAGAAAAGAAATAGGACATTACTGGGGGAGAACCTCCTCCCCAAAACTGATGAAATCAATACAGCCTATAGTTTAGTAAATAGTACCATGCCAATGTGAATTACTTAGCTTGATACATATACCAAGTCAACGTAGCAAATAGAAATGAGAAGAATCTGGGCTAAGGATCTATGGGAACTCTCTATACTATCTTTACAACATTTCTGTACACTTAAAAATTATCCCAAAATAGAAAATTTATTTATTTTTTTTAAAAAAAAGAGGACCTTTGAAAGGGAAAAGAGATTGTACAAGAATAAAAATTTTGGAAGTTTTGGTTATTTTAGAGATGAAGTTGGCTTACAGATACATTCTATACTTTTAGTAATTTTTAACCACTATGAAGAAATATAGGCACAGTCAGTGGTGGGGCGGTAATGCAATCGGACCCACATGGGAAAGGTCTTGGTTTTGTGTCTTGGGACTTTTCCATGGATGCTGGAGGTGCACTTGATATGACCTGGGTCAGCTGAGGTGGAGGGTGGATTGTGGTGTGAAAACCCTGCCGGAAGTGCCAGTTTCCCTCTCTTGCAACCATAGGAGAAATAAATATAAAGCTTAAAGAAAAGAATTAGGTTGTTTATTTTCCAGTATCAATGGGAAATGGTATTTCTTTTTCATCATTTCATTTAGATCGAGCTATAGTTCAAATCCGTCTCTTGCCTTCTACATTAAATGTAAATGTTACACTGATATTCTCCGGGAACTGCTCTCCCTGGAAAATAGGTACTTTTCAAAATGATGCACTAGTCCAAACCCTTGTTGCTTACTGATTTCCTTTCTTTTTGTCTTCTCCCAATCTTCTCTGTCTTCATTCTTGCTCGCTATCACATCTTTACTTAGCAACTGAAAGTGAATGTAGCTGGCCCTTGAACTCTACCCCATTTTCTTTTCTAAACCTCTAAGTGATCTTTAGTTGTTACTATTCTGCAGCCCTGGGGAAAGAAATTTGTCATCATGTAAACTCAGAACAAAACAAAAACAAATCCAAACAAAACGAATAAACCTGATCTTGACATCTGATGGTTGAAACAAGAAAGAGGCATGATGATTGCAACATTCCCCAGTCCCCAGGTACCAGGCGGTGTTGTAAAGCGACTAGGCGATCAAGTGTGTGGGAGAAAACACCCCGGCATGACCTGCCTACTCTTAAGATCGTTCTTGTCTCGATTATCTCTGGGAAGCTATTTCTTTTCTAACACTTCAGTGGGAGCTTTGAATTTGTTTCCAGACAAGGTGCTTTATAAATATAGGTTACGGTTTAATCAGATAAAGTTAGAAGAATCTGTTCAGCTGCAGTTTGAAGTAGCAATAGAGTAAGAGCAACATTTTATATTTCTACATAAGGCAGGGAAAAGATTGATGAGATTTTAACCCAACACTGAGTCACACAGTCATGCTGTGGGGTCCTTAAGTGTACCTCTTAGTCACTAGCAGGTCTGCATGTGAGTCTTCGTAGCGAGATGGCAAATGGAACCTTAACCAAAATCCTTTAGGAAGAAAGTCAGTGCTTACTAGGGGCAAATTCCTGTGTCTTTCAACGTGTAAGGCTAAGGAAGCTCTTTGTGGTATTTACTTCAGAGCTCCATGGCAGTAGATTAAGCCCATGACAGATAGCTATAAAGAGTACAAGCAGACTAGTATTATGAATATTCCAGGGAAGTTTCAATGAAATGTTTAAGATGCAAAGGATGAGATGCAATTACTGGCTGACTTAAGGTGACAATGTCAGGGCCACGTGCACATGCAAAAACATGGCAGATGGAGCATGTACTGTTGGCATTGACTCTTTTCTTCATGCCTGGGGTGTCCCTGCTCCAGGCAGAGAACAGCATTTTCTTAGACTCTCTCAGCAAAATGAACAGCACATCTGTGACTTAGTGAATACAATTTCTGTAGGGAACTGGAGCAGCTCAAGTAAGAATACTGCTTGATTACTCTGGCTTCTCCTACCATGCCCTGGGACAACCTTTTTTCAAAGCTCTGCAACCACAGACTCTACCAGACAATGGCATCTTCTCCCACACACTATAGCTGATGAAAAGGCTCCTCTACAATACCTGACAGCTAACTATTGGTTTCTGAAACGCTAGAGAACTAGGATGGTGCTAACGTGCAGCCCAGCATGCATTTCCCACTGATATCCTCTGCTAAAAGCAGGTTGCATTGTTAGGCTGAATCCACCCTATCCAGTTTCAGTCTTTGCTTTAGTTCACTCTTTTCTACAGGGAAAATGCTATAGTAACATTACTGAATAGAACTGAACTCAGCGCGATAATCTGTTTTATGCCTAAAGATAGATATTTTAAATTTGGGACCTGGGTCTATTCGGTTCTTCCCATTTTAGATTGTGGAGTGAAATTAAGTAGAAGTGTTCAGAGATGGAAAGGTTATTACTAATTTAATGAACTTGTATGGCTTCTAAATGACCCACAGTTCTGTGTATTATGGAAATACATGTCTTCATGATTCTGTAAAACATATCCTGTTTATGAAATAGCCAAGCCCTTCTACCGCCTTGTATGTGCATATGCAAATAGTGAGGACTGGGCACAGAAGACAGTGGGGGATCTTATTATGGATCTTATCAGGTCACCCTTATCTTATCAGCATCATGACAGATACATTCTCTATAAACACCTAAGGCAATTTCACTAATCTCAAATAAAAATAATTTTAATGTACTTTTCCCAGGTGTATTAAAAGAAATCTATGTGTGGAGTCAACAGTGGTTAGTAGCTCTGGATTGAATCCTCATTTCTTTTTTTCTTAGAGAGAGATTTTTGCTATAGGATGCATGTGCTTGCCAGAAAGACAGAGAGACAGAAAGGGAGAAATTATCCCCCCATGGGGATGACCATGCTGCAAGCCCATCTCCTGCATTCTCCTCTCAGCATTGTGGACACACACACACACACACACACACACACACACACACCTGGAGTGAGTTTTAAGCTGCCAGGTCAGGGACTCAAACTGTAGTTGACTACATGGGAGTCCAGAAACATAACCATTATGCTATCTGCTGGTCCCATGAATCCTCATTCCTAATACTTTTTAAAAGGAGATTGGAGGGGATCAGTAGGTGGCATAGAAGTTAAGGCGCTGAACACTCCCATATTGCCAACCATGGTTCGAGTCCAGGACCTGGTGGCTTGCTTTCTCACTTTCCCTCTCTCTGTGTGTGTATCTTGCTCTGATCAAATTTAAAAAATTATACATGAATGAATAAATAAAATTAAATAATTCTAAAAGAAAAAAGGAGATTGGAAATTTATTTAAATTAATCATGCTTGATTGCAAGGGTAAGGAGCAAAGTCTCTCCTACTACCTAAGGCTATGAGAGATGGACATGGTTTGTAGTTCAGCACCAGTTTCATGCGATCTTTCCTCACCTCCCCCCAGGCAGCAGATGGGGGCTCCACTGGAGGGTAGTACTTGGGCACATCCCAGGCCACTGCAGCCATGAACCACTTGAAGTCCTTGCACTTGAGCTGCTTACGCAACTCCTTCTGGGCAGAGATGTCCCCTGTGGAGAGGTGCCTGTACTCTGGTCGCCGCTGGTAAATGTACTCGGCAAATTCGTCCATCCAGGTCTCAGCCACCCGCTTCAGGTTCTGTGCATCAGAAAAGAAAAAAAAAAGTTTATATATTGGCTTATGCACTTAAAAGGTGGTTTTACTTGCACCAGAAATATAAGAAAGTTGTAAAAGAAATGAGATAACTCGGGCAGCTCTGGTTGGTGGCTTATTCATGATGTGAGTTTCCTAGCTGCAAGGCGTGTGACAGGATGAGCCGGCAGCTTCACACACATTTCTGCTTCTGGCATGGGGTTCTATTGCCAATTTGGCAATCACTTTGTCAGAACTAGTAAAGATTCAGCTCACAATTATACACTCTTTACTATCTTTCCTCTTATTTCACCATGATAGATTTTTTTTTTTCCTTTTCACTTGAGTTACAGGAGTTGAAACTGGAGAGAATGCAGTTCCTCTGAAGCATCAAAGTGCTTGAAACATTTCAAGAAGCAGAGCTCTTGGAAAGAATGAGGACAAACAAGCTGTTATTCTGTTCGCCCATCTATAGAGAGAGAACCTGATTACTAAATTCGAAACCTTGTGTTCTGATACTTTATATGTGTAATGGATGCCAATCAGAATGTAATACTGGGTCATCGGAAAAGTCGTGATGTCTTTTTTTTCTGTGTAAAAATGTGTCATGACTTTTCCAATGACCCAATAATTTATTACACAATGAACGGGGGCCAAGAGAAGCACCGAGGAGCCAGTCCTCTCTATAGATGTTTTCTTGGGCTGTAGGAAGGAAAAGGTTGATGACAGGAGAAGAAACACACAGGAGTATGTGGGTTCCGAGTAGAAAGTCCCACTCTTCTGTCAGTTTTGGGATTGACTAAATTACTTGTCCGTATCAGGTCTCAGGTTTCTCACTTGAAAATGGTGACAGTGATATGAAACTTCACCATGGAGGTGGTTGTCAGATTAAGTAAAGTAACACCTTAATATGCTTAGAATGCTACCTGATATACAATAGGTACTATGAAGAGTAGAGATCTTTAGTAGAGTGCAGCACTGGAGAAATTGGACAACTTGGGTGTCAGGTTTGGCCACACGTGAACTGAGCTGTTTCTGTGGGCTTTGGGAAGGGTAGTGAGATGAGATGTTCTCTGACATCCATTTCAGCTTAAAGCTCTATGATGTTAAGTGGTAGGATAAACAACTGTGGGGCTAGCAAATGGCATAGTGATTACCACACTGGACTTCCACATGGCCAACCGGGGTTCAAGTCCCACATGCGGCAACTTGAAAAATCACACCAGGGGGAGGTGTCTCTGCATGTGTATGCCCAAAATTCCAGGAGCAGAAGGCATTGACATATGGCTATTCTTCCCGGGAAGTGAGTTCTTACTTTCCCTCTTATTCTCTCTCTCTGTCTCTCTCCTGTGAGTGCATGTACCCTATGGCAAAACCTTACAAGGAAGAAAATAAGAGAGTGAGAAAGAGCAACCAGGAACAGCAGCTGGTGTAATGGCTGTGTAGCTGGACTCCCATGTAGTTGACCACGATCTGTGTCCCAGACCTGGTGGCTTAAACTCATGCCGGGCACATGTGCGTGTTGTGCCCAAGATCCTGAGAGGAGAATGGAGGAGAAGGGATTGCAGCATGGCCATTCCCCCTGGGGGGTGATTTCTCGCTTTCTGTCTTTCTGTCTCTCTCTCTCTCTTTCTGGCAAGCGCATGCACCCTATAGCAAAAAAAAAAAACCCAAAAAACAAAAAACACCAAAAAAACCACAAAAAAACCCCCAAAACAACAAAAAAATAAAAATCAAAAAATAAACAAACAAACAAGAAAGAGCAAGCACATTTGTCTGGAAGATACCAGTTTTGATGCCTCCAGCTTGCAGCAGTTTCATAGATGGGTGTGGAGAGGCTCTGGTTCTTTTCTGTTCTAGTTTCTAATTTTAAGGGCTCAGTTGGTGTGGGCATTGATCCACTCCAGCTTCTCATTAACGCTCGGAAGAGTAAATGAACATATGGCTGAGAACTTTAATAATAAGATCCAGACAGACGTAAGTGACTACAGTAAAAACCACTAATACTTAGGAACAACATTTTCTCTCTCTTTCTCTCTCTTATTTTTATTTGAAGAGAGATTTTTTGCTATAGGGCACATGGGCTTTCCAGAGGAACAGAGATCAACAGAAAGTTTTCCAGAGAAACAGAGAGAGAGAGAGAGAGAGAGAGAGACAGAAAGCGAGAAATCATCCCTTGGGAGCATGGTCATGCCGCAATCCCTTCTCCTCCATTCTCCTCTTGGGATTTTTAGCATGCACACACACATGTGTCTGGTGTGAGTTTTAAGTCACTAGGTCTGGGACTTGAACTGTGATTGACTATATGGGAGTCCAGTGACGTAAACATTATGCCATCTGCTGATCCCAGGGAAACCACTTTGTCTTAAAAATGGTTACACAGAGCCCCATAGGTGGTACAGTGGTTTAGGCACTGGGCTCCCATATGATCAACTGTGGTTCGAGTCCTGGACCTGGAAGCTTGAAAATTATGCTGTGTGTGTGTGTGTGTGTGTGTGTGCTCAAAATCCCAAGAGAAGAAATGGAGAAGGGATTCCAATGTGGTATTCCCTTGGAGGATGATTTCTGACTTTCCTTCTCACTGCTTCTCTCTGGTGAGTACATGTGCACTATGGCAAACACCTAAGGGAAAAAATGGCTATTTAGCTATAATTCAGGCCTGGAACCAGAACCGGAGTACTGCTGACCCCTCATTCCTAACGAGACTGTGCACTTCTCTCACTCTGTCCTACCTCTTCCATCCTTGGTGTCTCCAGTCAAGCCTTTCCCCTCTCTGACCTTGCTCCTGGCTCTCGCCCTCCATGGACTCCTTGGTTACTTTTTCTTTTAAAAAAATTTTTGCTAGAGAGCACATGCACTTGGTGGGGAGGGGGAGGGAGGGAAGGAGGGAGAGAGAGAGAGAAAGAGAGAGAGACACAGAGAAAGAGGAGAGAGAGAGAGAGAGAAAGTGAGGACCCCTCCCTTCATGGGGATGGTCCTGCCGCGATCCCTTCTTCCTCATTTCTCCTTTTGGGATTTTGGGCACACACACACACATGTATACCCAGCATGTTTCTCAAGCTGCCAGTTCCTGGACTCAAATCCTGGCCATGTGGGATCCAGCGACCTTACCCACCACCTTAGCTCTGTTTGTTACTTTTGATTGGCACTAGGCACAAAGTAGGACTCAGTGAATACGGCAAGATGAGGAGGACAGATAGAGCTACAAAGACTGCTCTGATGTCTGGGCTGCCTCTGTACTCCTTCCTTTCTGAAAGGCCGGGTGCACAGACAGTAAGGAAGTGACCTCGAGAGTGTAAGAATTGTCCCTGAGGGATTCTTATTTGCTAGTGTGCTCTTTAACAGCTCTTCCACCATGCTCATAACATTTTCCACTCTTCTGACTTCAGTTAAACCTGGCAGATGATCAGAGTCAACATTGTTCTGTAATATTCTAGCCCTTGCCACTGCCCCTGAATTGCCTGACTCATCTGGGGACAGGAAAAGAAACACGGTATCTGGAGGAGGCTTCTTCTGCTCTGTAACCGCACCCTGCACTGCATGGGAGTGGGTCTTTGTAAAGATTATGGAAAATATAGATTACAAAAAAACTATGCATGGATTTAAAAATATTTTTGTACCTAAATAAAGTAGTATTTAATTCCATTTTCCATGAACTTTTTTTTTTTCGAGAGGTTTTCACTATAGGACGCGTGCGCGCGCCAGACAGACAGAGAGAGACATAGAGAAAGAAATCACCCCCCAGAGGGGATGATCACGCCGCAATCCCTTCTCCTCCATTCTCCTCTTGGGATCTTGGGCACGCACGCACACGTGCCCAGTGTGAGTTTTAAGCCACCGGGTCCAGGACGCAAACCATGGTCGACTACGTGGGAGTTCAGTGACATAGCCATTATGCTAACTGCTGGTTCCCCCATTTTCCATGAACTTTTGAAGCCCCTTATATAGATGAAAAGTGTGTGTCTTTGGTATCATCTTGTCATTTACATTTCATTTTGATAAACATCCTATATGAAATGGAATCTATGTCTCTAGACAGACAATTTTTATGACAGTGAGCAAAAACATGTCAAAGACAGAATAGAAAAAATTAAATCATAATATTATATTGAAATTTGATTATAGACTGTGTTTCCAACCTTTGTCCTCAAATTTTAATTATTAAAAAAGTGGAAATATTCTATTTTCACTTACTTTAGGCCTCTCTGATAAACAAATGTGAAAAAAGAAGTCAGGACAATATAAACAAACAAACAAACCAAAAAAAAAAAAAAAAAAAACAGAGGCAGAGTGAAAAACAAGAAAGTGACTTTATTAAGAAGATACATGTTGGGACCAGCTGATGGCGTAATGGTTACATTTCTGGAATCCCATGTAGTTGACTGTGGTTTGAGTCCTGGATCTGGCTGCTTAAAACTCTAGGCTCATGTGTGTGCATAAGATCCGGAGAAGAGACTGAAGAGGAGGGACTGCAGTGTGGCCATTACCCTTAGGGGGTTAATACGGAGGGGGGGTAATTTGTCACTTTCTGTCTCTCTTTCTTATTCTGTACCTTTGTAAAGCACATGTGCTCTATAGCAAAAAATCTCTCTCTAAAAGAAAAAGAGAGAGAAAGAGGACACGTTTAAAAATTCTGGTAGCCTGCAAGAAAGATACATCACTAAGGAATTTATTTTGACTTGGATGAATAAGCACTTTTAGACTATTAGAACTATAAATGTTAGGGGCAGAGTTTTTTTTTTTTTTTTTTTTTTATTGAAGCAGCCAGCACCTTGAGTGGATCCAAGCACATGCATGTGTTCACCTGGGCATGCTAATTATTGAATTAATAAAAAGCTATATTATGAGATGAATGTGAGCAGATTGATAGAAGTATATGCATCTGCTGATAAAAGCACTGAAATAAGAACAATTAAAAAGCAGTGTTGCTGCTAAAGGTAGGTTTTCTTTCTTTCTTTCCTTTTTTTTTTTTTTTTAGAGGTTTTTGCCTAGGGCGCATACACTTG